CGTTCGGTCGTTCGGAGGGCATCGACGCCCCCAGAGAGCCGGATCGATGCATCGTTTGGCAAAGAGTAGACATGGCAAAATGCCGAGCAAGGAGCCTAACCGCATAACCTAACGTTTCCAAACTAAACAAGTGCAGCTAAGCGCTATCAACCTTCACTGGTGCTCCCAAACTTGAATGCTCTGAGTCAAGAGTCTAGAGAACAAAACATACTGAACTGGCAGACCCACTTGTGCAGCTGTGGAACATCAGGAAGAAGGAAGCTGAGAAAGCAACAAATGAAACCTACTATAGTAGGACATCAATCAAAAATAGGCTGGCAATACAAATGGACGGACAAACTTGGCAGATTCTCTCTAAACATGGCGAATAAAGTTAGAAGACGTGCCAAGCAGACCAAGTCCCGCCGACATGCACTCAGCGCTTCTCCAATGCGGATCACCCCGCCCCAGGAAAGGGCTTCCCTGCTCCATCCCCACATCCATGCCGACGTGAGGAGAGACAGGAGCGCTTGGCGTGGAAGCCAAGTGATGGCTTGGGGGCTCCTGTCAGAGCCAGGCGTAGGCCAGGTCCCACGCCGGCTGCAAGCACCTCCTCAGCCGACATCTTCTGCTCTGGACGGCGTTCACCGTCTCTGCGTAGTGCCCTGTATAGCTCACGGCCACACTGCTCTAGCATGAGGGGTGGTGGCCATAAGGACTTCATGCGCTGAGACCCCTCTGGATCCCACCCACTGCGTGAAACTGTCCAGCAGCTTGTCCCTTTGCCTCGCGTGACTTCGAGCACCGAGCGGCCAATAGGCAGCTCCAAGTCGCCTCAGTTTGCAGCTCTTTTCAAGTCCGCCCCGTCTCGGGGCTCCAGCTTTGCTCCATGCCTTGGCGCGACTACCGCGTACCTCGAGGGGAGTGCGACCCGATCAAAACAAGAAACCAAAACCGAACCTTTGGGGGCTGAGGAGGAGCAGCACGACGAAGCTTGCCGGATGAGGATGGAGCCTTTTGGCCAAAGACCCAAGCCTCCCACACTGGAGGACAGAGAGGAGAGAAAGCCCTCAGCCGAGGATTGGTCGATGAAGGTCGAGATGTGAACATGCCCGGAGGAGGGTCTTCTTGTAGTGAGAGAATCCAACCGACTTCCCACTTCCCGCCATCCTGGGCAACCTGCTCGATGGTGACCAAGGCCAGCGCCAACCTCTTGAGCTCCTTTCTGATCATCATGTCGCAGATCTGGCAAAGCAGCCACATCATCAGGCCAAGGTCTCTCTGGCCAGCAAAACCACCGTTCCTCTCAACATATGTTCTTGAGAAAAGGGCTCTGCCACCAAAACCATCGATGGTAGTAGGAGGAGTCTCTGATGGCTCCAGTCGCCTGAATGCATTCTTTGCCACCTTGAGGAGGAAGTCGCCTTTCCGGTTGGAGAAATCCATCAAAAGCTTCTCTCTCTTGGCCGAGCCTTTCAGCGAGAGGGAGGAGGAGGAACCCCAATAGCCACGAGGTGAGCAACCAACGTAGACAGTGCCTGAGACTGTTGAAAAATAGCTGAGGCAACCCCTTCCTCGCTGTCCATGCGGGGGACCTCCGGCTTGTTCGGATGAACGTACTCTGGATCTGAGGGAAGGGCCGCTTGCTCGTCCTCTGGCAGAGTCGGTGGTTGTAGTTGTCCAGTTGGTAGCTGAGCATTTGGAAGGGCTCTGACTCTTGGCGTAGGCCCTCTGTCTGGAGTCTGGAAAGGTTGACGGTAGGGAGGCACAGGTTGCTGAGGGGAAGTCACCAGAGCTTCCACTTTGCTTTGTCTGCAGCCATCGGGCCCAACCGCAACCGGGAGGAGATAACAAACAGGGAGAGCCTCTGAGATCTTTGATAGTTGCCCCGCCATCTCTTCTGACCCGAAGCCCCACCAGGGGAAGCCTTCGCCTTGCCCTTCACTGCAGGCACCTTGGGAGGAGAGGTAGTCGGCATCGCAGCCGCAGAGTAGAACACTCTTTTTGCTCTTCCAACCAACCGTAGGCAGCATGTAGGCCTTGAGACTCTGAGAAGAGGTCCGGATGATCGAGCGAGAAACGCCGGATCCCTGGCCCCTCTGTGACAGGGTCGAAGCCTCGGATGGAGTCCGTCACATTCTTGTGGAAGTCGGTGAGCAGGATGTTCTCCTCCATCTGTGCTGATACTTCCGTGCCGTCGTCCTCCTCGTAGCTCATAGGAACTGAGACCCTGGTCGAAGGACCGACAAAGTCCTCCGGCCGAGCCAAATTGCCTGTAGTAAACATCTCTTTTGGAAAAACCCCGTCGGGGATAGCCAAGAGACAGCCTGAATTCCGCGCCATGATGGGCATCACAAATGTCTCCATCGTCCACTTCTCGTGCTGGACCCTTGGTCTAAAAACTGGGTGTGCTGTGGAACTGCCATCCTCCTGACTCAGGAAACACAACTCCAGCTCCCCGGCACTAGACCTTGGCCTCGGAGATTGAGGGGAAGGTGTGGCTGACCGAGTAGTTGTCGAAGGGGCACAATCGCTGGTAATCACCTGCTGACGTAACCACAGTAGGGAGCTCGATGATGTAGACCTGGTTCTGTAGCCCGAGATGTGGAGTAGGTCGAGGCTTTCGGCTCCGGCCTTCGAGAACTGCCCCAGCCCAACAGCCAGCGTTCCAAGCACGTAGGGCTCTTGCACGGACGGAGGATGGAGCACCTGAAAGGCGATCGCAAAGCTCAATGCAAGTTCGGGAAGATCAGGAATGCTCCTGGCCACGTCGTCGTAGGCAGAGGAATTGGATAGCGGGGATCCTTGTGCCCAAGAAGTTTCGTTCTCCTTTCAGGAGTAGCTGGCAGCGGAGGGACCGCGTCCCAAGTAGAAGCCTCGGAAGGCTCAGTCAGCACGGCCGGCGGCCCAGTGTAGGATCCAGCAGAGATGCCCTCAGCACGGCTTGCAGCAGCCTCAAGGGACTCGAAGGCCCCTCAGAGCACGTGCCGTGGCACGGGTGACCTCAATCAAGATGAGTAAGCTGGCCCCGGCGCTCATATAGATACGCCGAGAGGCGTGAAGAGGGATGCTGACCTGGACCTCCCTGAGAGGAGAGTGGGGAAACCGAAGGAACTGAGCTCAGGTGCAAGTGCAGCCAAATCCCGAAGGAGATGCAAGCCAAGGCGCCCAAGCAAAATCCAGAGGTGAAGATGGCGGCCAAGTAGGCAGGAGAGGATCCGCAATGAGCGGGGCACCCTAAACCAAACCAGTTGGTCGCACTCCCCCACGAAACCAGGTTCAAAAGGTCTATGAATCCTTGAGCCAGCCACATGGCATTCAGAGTTAGAAGGCAAATTGTCTCTAATTACTGGTAACAAGGGCATCGCTACTAGTAACAAAGGGCATCGCTACTAGGAGCAAGGACGCTACTAGTAGCCTTTACTCTGAGCAG